AAACTACACCTGTGTGGTTTCTCTCCAGTGTGGACTCGATTGTGAATCCTCACAGCTGATGGGGTTGCAAAGGTCTTCCCACAGAACTCACATGATCTACCGTCTCCGTTAGGTTGAACCGGAGGTATGCAGATGTGCGACTTGCACTTGTATTTGCGAGGAATGTTCTGCTTACAAATATTGCAAAAGTTTGACTTGTGGGACTTCATGTGTATTGTTAGAGTGCGCTTGTGGAAGAAAGTCCTGTTACATATTTGGCACGTAAATATGTCCTTGTCTTGAACTCCGGCAGTTTCTACACTAACCATATTGAAGTCATTAAGTAACTCATCAGCCACAGCAGGGATGTTTTCAGAGTTTCTGCGACCACCTTTAGTGTTTTTCATAAGCTCTTGCTGACTCTCTTCAGGGAGAGGTATATCGTCCTCCTCTTCAATTGGAATATTAAGAGTGCTGAAGGCCTCCTCTGTGTCATTGATGGATGTCAGCTGCATGATTGGTTCTTCCATACCCCCTGCACACACAACCTGTTCTCCATCCTGATCTAATGACAGGCTGCAAGTGCTGCCATGGGCCGATTTACCAACTGACTCTGGTTCCTCTGCTGAGCTTTCTTCATGATCTGTTGCATGAAAAAATACAAAGTGAAGCACTCAAAATGCTTCAAAAGCTGCTGAATCGGTTTTGTATTCTTTATGTCAATGCTCAGTCTTCACTCTCCTTCTTTACAAAGTGTTTCCTGCTGGCAGTTTCTGGCAGCTTCCTCCACACAATCCTCCTCTTTGATTTCAGTTAATCTGGTTGGATTGTGTCTCCACAGGCTGCAAATTAAAAAAAAGTCTAAATGTTAAAAAACTGTAGTATTTTAATGGCAGCAATGCTTTGCCAGACTAAAGTTCACATTATCAGTCGAGTTGTTGATATTTGAAAAAGACTTTACATTAATAATCATGGAGAATGTAGCTTCTTTAAATGTTGTGATTTGCTGTTTCCCTCATCATCAAAATATATTTGTTTTTAAAGTTTCAGTTTTGGACTGGTGACGAAAAACCAACACATTTCAAATGTTGGGATTTGGGAAATTCCGATGGGCATTTTTCCCAACTTTAAGATAATATGAATAATAATGATGGTTGTGAAGGTTGTTGTGTTCACATTCATGGTATTTGTTCTTCATTATTCGAAGGGACTGGTTTTATATTTAATAATTGATTACACAACCATGGCTATACACATTATAACCTATATATTATGACGTTTGTCTGATTCACAATTACAGCTGCACTATCCACAGTTGTTTATTTTTCAAGACTCTACAGGTTTCACACATTTAATAGATATTGAATCCAATAGTATGAAGCTGCGGCGTCGCAGACTGCAGTTTCTGGACCCTTCTTCTCTTTTTTAATGGCGGATCGCAAACAGCTTTTAGTTGCATACCGCCACCTACTGTACATGAGTGTGTATCAACATGTCATTCCATCTCTAATAAACTAAATAACGAAAACTAGAATAAGAAACCATAAAATAAATAAAACAATCATCCATAATTTATTCTAACCTACTTTTAGATTATTTTACCTATCCCAGTATCTCTCAGAAATGTAAACAGTGCCTTTCTGGTAGCTCTCACTCCGTCTCCTTCTGTTCCCAGAATACCAACCACACTCCCTCTCTGCCTCTATCACTTTATCTTTTAGTTTTTCTTTCAGCTTTATAGGTGACACAATTTAATAAAACATGTTCCACATTTCCCTTACCTCCACAGTTCGCACACTTGTCACTGTTACTTTCCCCCATGACATACAGAGTACCATTCAATGCTGTGTGATTTAGTCTGAGTCTAGCTATCATGATTTCCTCCCTTCTGTTTCTTTCTTTATAAATATTGATTGTCTTTTGAACTTTATTATACTATTTGCCTTTCTGTTCTTTCTCCATCTCCATCCCTTTCTTCTTAATTACAGCTGTTCCTTCTCCTTAGTTGAACTGGTAATGTTATTTCCTTTTGTAATGCACTTTTTGCTAATTTATCAGCACACTCGTTCCCTTTCACCCCCTCGTGCACACTCGTTTCCTTTCACCCCCTCATGCACACTCGTTCCATTTCACCCCCTCATGCGCACTCGTTCCCTTTCACCCCCTCATTCTGGGATATATATATACCAATTCCGACACACTCTTCCTTGTTCTTAGAACTATCTGTGTATATTTTGAGGTAGTTGTGATAATTATTCCTGAGGTACATACTTGTTTGGAATCCTACTTCATTTATTTGCCACTCTCTTTTCTTTTCTACAATACTCATATCTATATTTACCATTGGGAAAAGCCATGGGGGAACACTACTGAATGGATTTGATGGTGAAAACTCTAACTCATACATACAGTGGGGCAAAAAAGTATTTAGTCAGCCACCAATTGTGCAAGTTCTCCCACTTAAAAAGATGAGAGAGGCCTGTAATTTTCATCCTAGGTACACTTCAACTATGAGAGACAGAATGGGGGGAAAGAATCCAGGAAATCACATTGTAGGATTTTTAATGAATTAATTGGTAAATTCCTCGGTAAAATAAGTATTTGGTCACCTACAAACTCCACTATGGCCAAGACCAAAGAGCTGTCAAAGGACACCAGAAACAAAATTGTAGACCTGCACCAGGCTGGGAAGACTGAATCTGCAATAGGTAAGCACCTTGGTGTGAAGAAATCAACTGTGGGAGCAATTATTAGAAAATGGAAGACATACAAGACCACTGATAATCTCCTTCGATCTGGGGGTCCATGCAAGATCTCACCCTGTGGGGTCAAAATGATCACAAGAACGGTGAGCAAAAATCCCAGAACCACACGGGGGGAGCTAGTCAATGACCTGCAGAGAGCTGGGACCAAAGTAACAAAGGCTACCATCAGTAACACACTACGCCGCCAGGGACTCAAATCCTGCAGTGCCAGACGTGTCCCCCTGCTTAAGCCAGTACATGTCCAGGCCCGTCTGTAGTTTGCTAGAGAGCATTTAGATGATCCAGAAGAGGATTGGGAGAATGTCATATGGTCAGATGAAACCAAAATATAACTTTTTGGTAAAAACTCAACTAGACGTGTTTGGAGGAGAAAGAATGCTGAGTTGCATCCAAAGAACATACCTACTGTGAAACATGGGGGTGGAAACATCATGCTTTGGGGCTGTTTTTCTGCAAAGGGACCAGGACGACTGATCCGTGTAAAGGAAAGAATGAATGGGGCCATGTATCGTGAGATTTTGAGTGACAACCTCCTTCCATCAGCAAGGGCATTGAAGATGAAACGTGGCTGGGTCTTTCAGCATGACAATGATCCCAAACACACCGCCCGGGCAACGAAGGAGTGGCCTCGTAAGAAGCGTTTCAAGGTCCTGGAGTGGCCTAGCCAGTCTCCAGATCTCAACCCCATAGAAAATCTTTGGAGGGAGTTGAAAGTCTGTGTTGCCCAGCGACAGCCCCAAAACATCGCTGCTCTAGAGGAGATCTGCATGGAGGAATGGGCCAAAATACCAGCAACAGTGTGTGAAAACCTTGTGAAGACTTACAGAAAACGTTTGACCTCTGTCATTGCCAACAAAGGGTATATAACAAAGTATTGAGATGAACTTTTGTTATTGACCAAATAATTTAATAATTTCCACCATAATTTGCAAATAAATTCTTTACATTTTTTTTTCTCATTTTGTCTCTCATAGTTGAGGTATGGTGAAAATTACAGGCCTCTCATCTTTTTAAGTGGGAGAACTTGCACAATTGGTGGCTGACTAAATACTTTTTTGCCCCACTGTATGTCCTTATTTTTCCATCCAAACCCACGCCCCTGGAACTTGGAATATTAGTATTGAGTATATATATATATATAGATAGTAGTAAGAATTACAGTTGCAAGAAAAAGTATGTGAACCCTTTGGAATTACCTGGATTTCTGCATAAGTTGGTCATAAAATGTGTTCTGATCTTCATCTAAGTCACAACAATAGACAAACACAGTCTGCTTAAACTAATACCACACAAACAATTATATGTTTTCATTGAACACACCATGTAAACATTCACAGTGCAGGGTGGAAAAAGTATGTGAACCCCTAGGCTAAAGACTTCTTCAAGAGCTAATTGGAGTCAGGAGTCAGCCAACCTGGAGTCCAATCAATGAGACGAGATTGGAGGTGTTGGTTAAAGCTGCCCTGCCCTATAAAAAATACACACCAGTTTTGAATTTGCTATTCTTAAGAAGCATTGCCAGATAAGAACCATGCCTCGCACAAAAGAGCTCTCAGAAGACCTACGATTAAGAATTGTTGACTTGCATAAAGCTGGAAAGGGTTACAAAAGTATCTCAAAGCCTTGATGTTCATCAGTCCACGGTAAGACAAATTGTCTATAAATGGAGAAAGTTCAGCACTGTTGCTACTCTCCCTAGGAGTGGCCGTCCTGTAAAGATGACTGCAAGAGCACAGCGGAGAATGCTCAATGAGATGAAGAAGAATCCTAGAGTGTCAGCTAGAGACTTAAAGAAATCTCTGGCACATGCTAACATCTCTGTTGACGAATCTACGATACGTAAAACACTGAACAAGAATGGAGTTCATGGGAGGACACCACGGAGGAAGCCACTGCTGTCCAGAAAAAACATTGCTGCACGTTTGAAGTTTGCAAAAGAGCATCTGGATGTTCCACAGCACTACTGGCAACATATTCTGTGGACAGATGAAACCAAAGTTGAGTTGTTTGGAAGGAACACACAACGCTATGTGTGGAGAATCCAAAGGGTTCACATACTTTTTCTTGCAACTGTATATAATCTATTTATAATTGTAATTGTATATTGTATGTAGACATACATTTAGATGTATATTTTGTTAAAAGAAAACAAAAATGTTAATTTAGTTTTTGGGAGAAGGGGTGGTAAACTTCTTCCCACGCCTTTTCGGATGTGTAATTGGGTAGATCATTTGTAAGTCAATAATATTTAGTTCATCAATTTGATACTTTATTCTGAACATGCAGAGGAATACTTGTTCCATGGAAGGCTTTGTGGACAGCAGACTCCATTTTCAGGATCTATGCATTCACTCTGTAGGTGTGAACATGCGGTTATGTCCTTTTGTTTGGCAGAGTGCTTTCTTTCCATGTGCTTTTTAAAAAGATTTTTATTTATGAGAACATGGCATATGGGACATTTCTTCTTCAGTACAGGCACTACATAGACCCTTTTCATCTTTCCCTCTGGGATGATGGGGGTCGCTGGATCTGGGATGATGGCGGTTGCTGGATCTGGGATGATGGGGGTGGCTGGATCTGGGATGATGGCGGTTGCTGGATCTGGGATGATGGCGGTTGCTGGATCTGGGATGATGGGGGTTGCTGGATCTGGGATGATGGCGATAGCTGGATCTGGGATGATGGCGGTAGCTGGATCTGAGATGATGGCGGTAGTTGGATCTGGTATGATGGCGGTAGCTGGATCTGGGATGATGGCGGTTGCTGGATCTGAGATGATGGCGGTAGCTGGATCTGGGATGATGGCGGTAGCTGGATCTGGGATGATGGGGGTTATGGCAGTGTGCTTTGCCTTGCACAAAGCCAGGTGTTTGATGAAGTCTGCTTTGCGCATCAGCGTTGACTGGCAGTAGAAGCAGTGGAAATGACATTGTGGTCGGCAATTTAATGCACATCTGTGAATGGTATACCCTTAAAAATAAGAACATAGAATTGTAGTATTATTATTTTGTGATCATATTATTTTAAAGTGTAAATTATGAATACCAAACATCTGAATCAAGTAACTGGTCACCACAAACAAATCATAGAAGGACTTGTTTTGATGTATTGCTCAAATGGAACTGATCATAACATTCAGGCTGCTTTTAAAGCAGACACATTGCAACTCCATTTGCATTTCACAAGAGAATGTTTTCAAACGTTACCTTCATGGAGAACTGCACGGTTGAAGTGGCTCTCTAAATGGGCTTGGACCTTGCTCAATTTGGCTGGGTGGAACACATTTGAGGCACATAACGGGCAGTGAAAGTCTTTGCAGCATGTAGTACATCGCTGTAAGTCGGGTAAGGATCTCCCCTCTCGGATTGTAATATGCATCTTGAAAAAGAGAGAGAGCCTAATTGGTCAAACTGAACATTTTGAAATAATTTCACAGACAGACATAAATTAGGCCTAATTGTTAGATTCTGACACGACAGATTCTAACCTACAGAATAGGCCGACATAACTGACTAAAACACCACATGCAATATTACAAAACATGTCAAAATGATGAGACTGTCTGATAACACGTAGTGTGGAGTAAACAGGCAGTCAGCACAGTTAAGATTATTTACAATGAATTCAAATAGTAATACAATTAAAGATGCATTTACACTGACGACAGAACTTAGGCTACTGCTGATTTAATGTAGTGGACAGACAGATCATATTGACATGCTTTTGTCATCCTTTGAAGTTTAATTAATTAGCTGACTATAATTAATGAACAGGGTTGGGAAGTTTACTTTTGAAATGTAGATGACAGATGACTAATTACCCTGTTAAAAATGTAATAAGTAATGTAACTATTTGTATTGATATTCTAATGTTAATTATGGGTCTTTTATTTTTTTTGTGAGTCACTTTAAATAAAAGCCTCTGCGAAGTAACATAACCATAACATACGGTTTCATTAAACAAATAAACAAAAAGGCTAACAGTTGGTTTTGCAGCGAGTCATCATAGGGCAGAGGCTAACAGATTACTGATTCCCTGTCAGACTCACATTTAGCACGTGTTGCTTGTATTGCAGTTAACTTTAAACAAACAACACGATTCACATTACTCACACTCTTAGTGTAATTAGTGATTACATCAACAATTAATGTAGGACACCAAGTTGAGCTTGCCAAAATCAAGCTACAGTTTAATTAACCCTCTGGAGTCCAAGTGCGCATAATTTAGGTAAATGAATAATATATTTTCGATTATAAGAAGTAGAAATATGATTCAGATATCCGCGGAATCGCTGAAAGTGTAGCTTTCCAGCAGTATCTCCTGTGAGACTGTAACCAGGGCACAGCAGCCAATATGGCCGCTCAAAGCAGCTTGACTTTACACTGTGAGGGATTGGTGGATTTGTGTGTCCGTCAAGGAAATCTCGGCCGGCAGCCATCATGGTCTGAAATGACCAATGGACATCGAGAAATCACTAAGGACCTACCCACCAAGTAAAAAAAAACATAAACCACGTGTCTCCCATCAGTTTACATCTGTGAGGAGAGAGACAGAGAAAATGGCTAAAAAAAACTTTACAGTTGCCGACTTCGCTAGAGATTTTTTTCGCTAGCAGCAGTGAAGATAGAGCCTCAGAACCTGAAGTCTTCGACTCTTCTGAAGAAGAAGAATACAAAGACAACAACAAGGATCCATTTGGACATGGGTAAGTGTAAATATTACAGTAATAGTGTACTGGCAATGTGTGGGGAATACCGCGAAAAGTAACAATAGGTTTATTGATATATTTTTTATCGATAGTCATGACATTTTCTTGGGACAAAATAGACTCCATTAGCAAACGTTTACTCTGTGTTAAGGTTATTTTGGTGTGTAAAAGTGAGATTACATGTGTAGATGATTCAATTAATCATTTATTCGTCCCACAACGGAGACATTTACAGTGACATGTTTTTGCCATCGATTATTTTATCATACTGTTCTGTACAGATGAGACTTTGTCATAGATTTATTTATATGTGTGCCTGTGATTATTTTACCGTCCTGTACAGATTTTTTGTAATCAGATGTAGCCTATGTATATGTGTGTCTGTGATTTTATACTGAATGTAAAGTAACTGGAAATACCTGTGTCAGAGAGAGAGAGAGAGAGATAGAGAGATAGAGAGATAGAGAGATAGAGAGAGAGAGAGAGAGAGAGAGAGAGATTGCTCTCTTCCCCCTCATTAAATACGAGGGCGTCACCCCTCAGCAGCCAATTGCTGCACATGTTAAATTCCTTAAATGCCTGCTCTTCCTCCCTGTCAGTTGTCATTTCAGGTGACCTCACGCAACCCGCCTCCACCCCTCTCGCCTCCTGTCTCCTCCAGGACAAAGCTAAACCTTCCTTCTTCAGACCGGTCCCACCTACTTATCACCACCACCAGTGTCTAGACCCCGGGGATTTAATCGGAGCGGTTCTTTCCCTCCTGAATGATTATCCTGCAAACCGGGGCCTAATCGCCAAACACCATTCCATTCTCCTGTTGTATTATCATGGCAATCATTTCATTCATATGACGTGTAACAATAAATATGTATTCCTTACATCACGTCTCTCCGGTTTGAAATGTAATTAAAGTCAGATCCACTCGTGTCTTAGACGGGGCATTGATATCATAAACCTGTTAATGTACGCATTCAAACACTTTTTCTTTTACCAGCTGTATTCACCTTGCAGGTGCAACTATGTGGATTTTATCCTGGATAAAGTGTTTGAATCATGGATGTTTAAAGTTTAACTTCTTCATATGTCTAATATTATAGTTGACTTTTCATTCAGGAAGTATGACGCTGCGCTGTCAGTATGCTTCTCCATGTTTGTGATTGGTGGAATGCTCCAGATACCACCCCTTTCATGTGAACGCGCACCTAACTAGATAGGACACGGCTGGTTTGAGCGATCCACTTGATAACCAGCATCGTAGTACAGTTTAGCGAGAGCGCGTATGTTTTGGGTTAGGCCAACCGGCTAACTCAAACATATCCAGGTTAGGTTGAACCAGCTTCCTAGTACAGGCCCCTGGGCTCACACTTCACAAAACAGAGATCAAATTCCTGCTGTATGCAGATTATTTAATCCTGTTAAGCCCGACAAAAGAAGGACTTCAACAGAGTTTAAATATACTCGAAGGTTACTGTCAGACCTGGGCCATGGCAATTAACATAAAAAAGACAAAAACAATGATATTTCAAAAAAGATCCAGATGTCAGGCAAACAATATTGACTTTACAATTGGGACACAGACAATAGAAAATTGCTCAGAATATAATTATTTAGGCCTTAAATAAGTTCCACTGGAAGCTTTAATCAAGCTGTCAAGGAACAGAGAGAAAGCATGCAGGGCATTTTATGCAATAAAAAGACAAATCCACATTCAAATTCGGCTTAAATTACTTCAATCAGTAATACAACCCATCCTACTCTATGGAAGCGAAGTGTGGGGCCCACAAACAAACCAAACATTTGACAAATGGGAAAATCATCCAATAGAAAATGCTCACAATGAGTTTTGCAAACACATCCTACAGGTTCACAGGAGAACAACTAACAACGCCTGCAGAGCGGAATTAGGCACATTTCCATTATTAATAAAAATCCAGAAACGGTCAATTAAATATTGGCTACATCTAAAAGAAAATGACCCCCACTCCTACCACCACAAAGCCCTGCAGCATCAAGAGATAAACAAGAGTCCCCTCTCTCAGCTGGTCCTGACACTCTGTTCACAAACCGGTTCAAACTGTGATCAGGTCCAGGCTGAGCCCACATCTATTAGAATCAACCAAATTATAACAAAACGATCTCGCTTATTGGAACACTAAATCCCAAACACAAAGTAAAATGCAATGCTATCTGGCCCTAAAAAGACAGTACACTGTGGCAGCCTACCTGAGCACAGTGACTGATGTTAAACACAGGAAGTTGTTGACAAAGTACAGACTGAGTGCTCACAGCCTGGCCATAGAAACAGGCAGGTACAAGAAAACATGGCTGCCAAAAGAGGAGCGATCATGCCAACAGTGTGGAGGAACTGCTGTGGAGACAGAGCAGCACTTCCTCACACAATGTTCAACTTTTGAACCGGTACGGAAACAATTCTTCCCAAAACTCAACCATAAGCATCCTCAAATATTTAAAAATGAAAATGAAAAACTATAAATACTTCTCGGGGAATATAAAGAGAGCTGCATTGTTGCAGGACAGTTTGTCTCTGCCTGCCACAGTCTGAGGGAACCGGAATGAGCAGATACACCAGGTCTCACATCATAAGTATATATATCATATTCTATTTTGTATTCATGTATTCTATGAATGAAATTAATCTGTATTCCTTGTAAAAAAACAACAACAAAAAAACATTTTCTTAGCAGTTTGTTTATAACTGTTCATTTGTTTATTTGTATGTATTTTTGTATAGATGTTACAACTATACATAGCTTTCAATACTGTATGTAAATATGGTCATGCTAATAAAGCTTTTGAATTGAATCACCCACTTACGTCAGAGCACTTTGGTGAGTCTCCCCCCAGACTGCATGGGTCTGTGTCTTTCCACAGATTCATACACCAATCTTTTCCAAAGATCCCCTCTATGATGGGCGACCCAGACACTGGAAAGTCAAACCATAAAAGTAAGACATGGAGGACACATCAGTAAACAATGCATAAGATGTATGTTCTTATCTGAGCTATTTTCAGTACAAAACATAAGTACCCTGAGCGTCCCCGTCCTTATGGCAGACAGTTTGCACGCCTTCGCTGTGATTACTTTTACACAACACAGGAGCTTCGCTTCTCATAGTGGCCAGCTCGCACTCCAGACTGTTGACTTTCTCTTCCTGGGCTGAATTAGCCGCCAGGAGCTGAGACAACCCCACACGGAGCTCCGCATAGTCTTCATCCACCAGCTTACAGACCTGCTTCAGGGCGGACATGGCCAATGTTTCCATGATGGAGGTGAGCTGCGAGTGTAAAGAGACGCGGCTCGCCATGGTAGCTCCTGGCTGTAACAACTAGTGATGGCAGTTTGACACTGAAGCTTCGAACAGAGCTTCAACCCTGGACTTCCTATTCCATAGAAGCAGTAGGCTTGTTTGAGACAAGCGAGACCTGCGCAGACCTGCGCAAATTCGATCAACGTCTTGCTCGTGCGTTGCATGATGGTTAGTCATTTTGTCCGACTTGCTCTGGAGGCCCGCCTACATGAGACGTTGAAATCTCGCGGGACAAAGACGCCCGCAGCCTTGACAGCGAGGCGCAGCGAGGCGGCGCAGTTCCTCTCCACGGGCTGCGGAAGCGAAATGCTTGATGGGAAACGACTCGCTAGTATCTCGAGCTGAGCGCTCATTGGTGGTTTTTACCACGTGCTGGTGATGAAACTCTCCAATTGGCTCGGCAAAAGTTTGCTGTTGTTTTGTGTCAGTTTTACGTCGCCACATCCATTCCCATTTTTCATCATTGTTCCACAATATTTATCATCATTAAATTAATATCCATATATTTTCTATACTTGCACTGCTTACCGTTTTCATACTTTATATATCTTAGCATATTCATACACACTGTTCATACTGCTCTCAGGCTGCTGTGTATATCTAGTGTATTCATACCCCTCACTGTTTATTCATCATTCAATTCATTCTATATTTTATTCTGTAGATTGTGTACATTACTTTTCACTTTACTGCTTGTTGCACTCCTGGTTAGAAGCTAAAGTGCATTTCGTTGTCTCAGTACCTGTAATATGTGCAATAACAATAAAGTTGAATCTAATCTTGAGCAGGAACAAATGTATTTACTTAGTACATATCTGACATTAACGATTAAACACATGTGTGCATTCTTTATAAATGCAAACCGAGTCAAGCCGACTCCGGAGGTGGCGGTATGCACCTTAAAGTTGTTTGCAATCCGCCAAAAAACCGAGAGAAGAAGAAGAAGCCGACTCCGAGCTGTCCGACTTCAGGCAAGCTTTTTGAGACCTCCCCCGGCTGCGATGGGCTACTCTCGTCTACTTTCGAGGCGAGCCGCAACGCGTCTCAAACAAGCCTAGTGCTTCGAAGCTTGCTTCAAATCACGTGACATATGACGCCAGAAGCAGCAACAGCTTCAAATCACGTGAGATGTGACGTCCGAACCAGTAACTGCTTCATTTCCTGAATGAATCACTTGACTGGTTTGCGGCATGGATGTATAATGTATAATTGCGGTCCATTCACGCAATTCAATGCACTGCCTCGTCTCGATTCTGACAGGTGACAGGTTGAAACTGTTTCGAATTTGAGCGCTTCAACACTTTATGACCGCTCTAAACAATGCGCAATGTGGGTTGTCGTAGTTTGCGTTGTTGCTGTTGAGTTGTTGTCGGTATTGCATTTGAATTGTAGTATCATTATAGAGCAAGCCATGAGAAAGATAGGTCGTTCTGGCTGTGCCAGTTGAGCTGGTTCTTCCACCAGCTCAACTCTGTCCCTCATCATGAACGCAGGAGGCTGGCTGTATATCCAGTACTCAAGTTGTAAAAAAAAATCAGGGGGGATGGTGGATTTTATCATATGAGGACATCATTTGTGCTGATAACCCGCCGAGGGTGGGAGACCAACCAGCATAAAGATAATTATTATACTCCTAAAACAACATGCATGTTATGGATGTTCAGATACTCCTTTCATTGCTCTTGACCAAGGCACCTCAGAATTAGAGTCGGTCCCCGGGCTGCCATGGCACCACTAACATTTAGGGTCAAATGCAGAGGACAATTAGTGCAAAATATTTGTTTCACTTTAATTTAAAGGGGGGGAGGGAATACAAAAATGTGGTTATAATGGAAGTCTATGGTACAAATCTTGTAGGTTAACAGTCCCTCATTTATTATTCAGATGGATCAACTGATTACTAATAATAAAGTCAAAATAGTTTTTAGAATATTGAATTATAGTGTATTTTTTCAAAAAAGCAGTTACTGGTATACGATCAAAACTGGTATCTAAAGGGTTACATTTGTATCGTAATTAATTAAATCATTATTTAAATTAAACACTTCATAAAACATTTGAGGAAAAAAATTAGAAAAATGTTGATCCGTCATAATTTTATTGCAGTTCAAATACAAATATTTTATGTTAACATTCCCAATATTACTTTTTTTAACAGGGCATTAAGTGCAAATTGAAATTGTTTACAAAATATTAAAATATATAAAAAAAGTATACAGATAATACAAAATAGGACCAATGTTGTCAATGGCTGCCTACTCCACTCTCTCCCATCTCATAGAAGTTTCCAAAGATGTTCATAATCATGCTTTTTGGTCTCAATTTCTCTGGCTCTTGCTTTCGGATTGTTAGCAATGGCTTTGAAGCCAAGTCTTGATGTATACCTCTGGTCTGAACTTATTCAGTGGAGGGCCAACACACTTGATGAAAAGCAAGGCTGACATGCTTTTTACCTCTGGGAGCTTCTAGTTGTGGTTAAAATGTTCATATGACTAAACCCACGTTCACACTCAGCTGTGGAGATGACCAGAGTGTGCACTGCTTGAAGGAGGGGTTTCAGCTCTACTGGTGCTGGTGGTATCATTTCATCAACAGTTTTGAGTCTTACCAGCTAGCTAACACGAGAGAAAAATGTAGCTAAATTCCAAACTAAGTTGTTATTGCTGCTTATGTCCATAGATTCCACCTTTGGTGACTAAAGTAATTAGTAATGACTAAGATGACTGACTCTTGACTTACCTGAAATGTTATTTTTAGTATTTTTAAATATGAAGTCTCTCAGATCGTGTTGTCCTCCTGGTCGCTTGGCCATTGTGATGACCGTTACCTGCGCTTCTGGCATCGATCAAACAGGCGCATCACGGCGCTCTGGCGCCCTCTAGGGCACTCGCATAGTATAGCGTCAGCGACTTGGTAAACATGTCATTTCGTGTGTGCGTGCTCCCTCGCTCACAGTATTTTACTCAAAATGCGCCAAATGAATGTTGAAATAGCAGTAATACCAGTGCCATGTTCATTGATAAAATTACATAAGGGATGGAAAGGGGGAATGGCAGTTTTAGAAGGGGGATGATTTTGACCGTTTTTATTTCAGGGGGGATGCCATCCCCCCTCAACTCGCGCCCTCATCATTCTCTTCATCATCTTGCACTTGTTCTAAGCTGCTGCTGATAGTGCTTGTAGCAGCGCTACTGCCAACAAGGTCTGTCAATTTGCGACATTTATATGCTTCACCTGCGAGTGACTTCACCTTTTTTTTCTTGCCTTCTCGGCCCCACCTTTTTATTTTCGTTTTCTTTGATTTTTATCCATGTTTTTTCATTCTCCCTAGAGGCTTCTCAATACTCAAATGTCCCCTCCTCGGTCCTCCGGTAGTGACCCGGAAATGAATTTCAGCGCGCCATTTTGAAGGACATCTAATTTCTCTAAATGCACACCGAGGACCGAGGATCGAGCGTCGAGGAGGCTCTCTGGAGGAGCTCTAACCGAGGATACACTGATGGTTCCTCCACGGCTCCTCCACGGATGCATTTCCGGGAACGGTGGAGGCGTGACGCACGGCCGGACTTATCTCAGCCAATGACAGCTATGCATGCATCCCCTGGATATTATTTTAGAAACTGCTTTCATCACGTCGCGATGTTTCCAGAGAGAACAGCTGTAAGGTCCATGCAGAAAGCAGAGCAGTGTGTATAATATATATCACTCAGTATAACAGGCCTACTCTCTTTATTTGCTTTAGTTTAGTAGATATCTACAAACAAAGAGTCGATATTTTTCTAAGACCATTGCTTCACATAATAAAATACACAACGGCTTATGCTTTAGGAGCTGTAGGTGTGTGTGGTACAGTGTGTAGGTGTGTGTGTGGTACAGTGTGTAGGTGTGTGTTGTCAGGGCCGCCCCTCCCTACAGGCCAATCACGCAGGCTGCATGGGGCCCCGCCTTGCGCAGGGGGCCCCGCCCAGAGGGCCTCAGCTGCTGTGCGCAGTTCTCCGCTCAGTTCCCCCGCGAGAGTGAGAGTGCGGCGCACGCCGCTGTGTGGACGGGCCGTGAGAGGTGACAAGAGGAGCACGTTTGTAACCCGACACCGTTGCAATGAATCGACATCTGACCAATCACGGCTTTGATACGGCCACTAGTGCAGGTGAAGAGATGTCGGTGAAAAGACAGTTTCAGTCCGGCGCAAAAAACAAAACATGAAGAAACTAGCGCATCACTCGAAGGTGGGTTATTGTATGAGTCAAATGTACAACTTGCGAATGTTGTATAAGTCAAATTGCCAATTGCCATCTTAAAACATCAGCTGCTATTCACGACATGAAGAAGGCAGTCTCTGCAGAGCATATACTGTAGGCCAGGGGTGCCCACACTTTTTGGGCTGGTGAGCTACTTTTGAAATGACCAGCTCACCGAGGTCTACCAACCAAAAATAAAATCCCAAATTGCAAGGGTTGCTGAATAACACGTTTTATTTATACATGGGATAATAGGGCTGCAACGACTAATTTGATAATCGATTAATCTATCGATTAATGAAACGACTAATCGACTATTCAGACTATTACTGTATGCCTTGCACAATTTCTCAAACGCTCTTATTTAGCCATCAACTTTTAGATTTAGCTTGAGGTTGTTTTAGGCATGTGGAAACTAACAATGAAGACAATAAAGATGAATACTTGATTCAAAAATACATATATTATTAAATTAACAAATTGTTTACAAAATTAACATTGCTTTTTATTTAAATAAAATAAATAATATTTCGCATCAAAAGAAACAACAATGTTTTAACAAATCCTATTAAATAATCTGATGACAACTGTGAACAGAATAGCTGAAACTTTAACAAAATAAAGAGTAACTCAGTTACCTCTAATCATTAACCCGTGTTTGTATCATGGTGTTAACTCCGTGTGGTGCTGCTAGCATAACACCTGACGTGGAAACGTTACTCGTGGATGGGGGGGCTACAGAGCTGCTAGAAAGACAGTCGAACCCGGTGCATTTCTCCGTCTGAATGTGGTGCACTTTTGATAAATGTTTAGACACATTGCTCGTGTTCCCGCCCTCACATGCTAAACTCTCTTGGCAACGAGCATTGTCCACTTCAAGACGGGTAACATTTAACCACAC